CTCTAACTTAATATGTTAAGGTAAATTTCGGATTTCTGCTTACTAAATGATTTGTATATACGCTTGCCTATCTACACGGCCTGAAATTTGGTGTGAGGATGCGGGTATTGCGTACAGTGTTAACTCACGCAAGTGCCACGTTCGGTAAATTCCCACTCATTTTTTTGAGACGCGCGATCTGCGCTGCCTCGTCTCTCTTTCGCGTGCGTTCTGCAGCAGTCACTTGGATAAGTCGTTGTTGCTTTTCGAACTTGTTGACTTTTGATGAGTTTGAGCGCGTGATGCGGGCTGTGAAAAAGTGTGTTGGAAACACAAATTGAGGACCAAATCTGCACCTTATTGATGACCCGTGGCGTTAATATACTGCATCTGTGCCAGCGTGTGATATAATAAAACTGCAGCTCGTTAATAAACTTTTTTTTTTTTATCCATTTTATACAAGCCACCATTTAATGCATTTTTCCTTACAAATTGTATTATCAGCATAACAATTTGAGTAAATGTGTAAAAGGTATGGCATGATGCCATGCTGGATGATAGATATTCTTCATTCTCTATGACAAATAAGATAATGTGAATTACAGAATGTACAATGTTTTTAAAATGTATCAATTGCGGTGTACAGTGTTTATTATGAGGGGGTAGAATCCACAGCTCAGTACTCACTACTCAATACTCCATGAGTACTTTTAAATAGGCTACTCTTTTACTCTTACTCAAGTAGTTTTTTGGACAAGTATTTTTACTCTACTCGCACTACATTTTTTGGAAGGTAATGGTACTTTTACTTGAGTATATTTTTTCAGTACTCTTTCCACCACTGGATGCAGAGTATATATATTTTGTCCTTTGTTCTCTCTCTGCATGACTGTGGAGTTGCTGAGTATGCAGAATGGTTGTGAGTGCTTGCGAAGGTGTTCTTATACAGGGAAAAAAATTATTACAAAAATATAAATATACAAAATATACTTTTTTTTAAAAAAAGTTGTAAGTTTGTGACTAACTTTTTTGTTATTATTATTATTATTATTATTATTTGTTTGTTTGTTTTCCAGGCAGTTCGTTTATCTCCAATTCTACTGGGACTAACTCCTCAGACCTGAATGGGATGGGGCTTAAGCCTGCACTTCCTGGTGAGGTCACACCTATTGCCAGAGCCCACGTTCACTCTCGGAAACCACGAGCTGGAGAAGAGTCAGGGAGCGGTGGAGAAACCTCAACCAGTGCTGTGACGGACAGCAGTGTTGATTCAGCCGAAAGCGAACACGTCATTGATTTGACGATAGATGGCATGGCTGCCCGGCTGCCCACGCTGGCTGAACCCCGGACACGTGGCCTGTCCCAGCTAGACTTTAACGAGGAGAGAATTGAGGACAGCGCTCCACGCTGGAAGAGCGAGAGACTACAAGCAGATGGGACGTTTTTAGAGTCCACCCCTTCCCAACCAGAAGAAGTTATCACAGTGAATTTTTACAATCCATCTTACCAACAGCATGTTCTTGATCCTCCTGCTTGGGTTCAGGAGCTCCAGGGTGGAGATCCAACCTCCTGGACGCTTTCTGATTTTTATGATTATCTGTCACCTGACTATTCACCCACTGAAGTTTATCTAGAGGAGAGCCAACCAATGCCACCTGACATGGAAGATGAAAATGTTCATCTCATAGCCAGCGCAGTTCCTTCCAACACTAGAGTTATTACACCTGATGATGGATCTGGAGTATCTTCACTTGGAGCATCGAATGGGCTCAACTCTGGCTGTCTCTATGGTTTTGTGCATTACAATGGCACATGTATCTCGTCATGCGACATCTTCCCCAGTTACTGCTTCAATGGAGGACAGTGTTATGTGGTTGACGGTATTGGTGCTTTTTGCCGGTAAGATGCACACATTCATGTGTTAAGGCCCATTCACACCAAGAACAATAACTATATTAAGTATATAAGCATCCTCAACAATGCACAACAGTGTTCTGTTTTTGTAAGCGTGCAGTGTACACTCTTAAAAATAAAGGTGCTTCAAAAGGTTCTTCAAGCGATGCCATAGAAGAACCATTTTTGGTTCCACAAAGAACCATTCAGTCAAAGGTTCTTTAAAGGAATTATTATATATACCAGTTTATATGCTGCTCAACTGCCTCTTTTCTAACACCTCTCTCTGTTGTTTGTAGGTGTAACATTCAGGAGTATATCTGGAACAAAGGCTCCAGGTGCGAGTCGGTCATTTCTAACTTCCAAGTGATGTGTATAGCAGTGGGTGGAGCTGCCATCATGTTGTTACTCCTCTTCATGCTTATAGTCTTTTTCTCCAAGAGGATGCACGTGCTTAAGACTGAAAACAGACGACTTCGCAAGCACAGGTGAAACGCACATGTAAACACACACTTATTAGAATCCTAGTTTCAGATTTGACTGTTTAAATTTTGCTTGATGGAGCTGAATACACTGTAGCACTTACAGGCTGGAGTACAATAAAATCTGCAGTGTTAACATGGGCTTTGAACACAATGATATCACTCTTCTTTGCTGAAAGTAGGCCAGTCTGACAGTGCAACATGAGAGTGACCTATATACTATGCAGCCAAAGGCATTTAAACACAAGCCAAGAGAAGGGTAAGATGGAGAGCAGAGATTTAAGGGGGTCTGAATACTTTCCGTACCCACTGTATATACTATGCAGAGTGGAAGAGAAAGGAGAAAATTGGAAGGGAGTATAGTAATGATGACAACAGTTAAAATTGTTTACGTTTGAGTTTTAACTGCCCATCAAGACCATTTTCTGCAGGTAACATCTGTGTACATGTGTGCTTGTAGCAGAAGCAACTTGAGCTTTTAATCCACTGCGTTAAATACAGCAGAAATGTCCAAGCTACTTTCTATTTCTATGATCCTTTTCTGAAGGATCCTGTGACACTAAGAAAACGGATAATTAGTTTTATTTTATTTTGTTTTATTTCCTTTTTTTTGTCTTGGTCTCTCTCTTTGTCTTTCAGTAAGTTCCGTCCAAAGTCGGAGCAGCATATCGATAACTTCTCGCTGTCCACTGTCGCAGAGGGCTCTCAGGCAAATGTAAGGAAACTCTGTGACACCCCGACTAACCTCCCCCACGCCCGTGCTTTGGCTTACTATGATAACATTATGTGTCAGGTAACTTTTCCTCTCCTCTCTTCCCCTCTGTTTTCCTGTGCATGAGTACTGGAGATATTAAGTGCTTGCTCTCTCTCTTTCGATTTAGGCGGTATGCTTATTGTCTTACTCCTTTCTTCACTTTATTCCACTCTTCATCATGATGCTGAGAAATAGAAATACCATCCTCTTCATCCCCCACTCTTTCGGTTACCTGTTGTCATTGACTCGCATGTGCCACCTGAGTTCATGTAAAGGACTACAGTCTGTGTGAAGCAATGTGGAAACTGGATTATTTTAAGTGTTTCCAAACATACTGATCATATTAGCGGTTGTGTAGAGAGGTTGGGCAGTCAATGCAATATTTTTCAAACAGTTTTAGTCCTAACTGTTCTTTATATAAGGTACAGTGAATGTAATGGAATTGGTAATTAAGAGGGAACGATAACGAACTGTCAGAAGTGTGTCAGTAGAGTAATCCTCTTTCGCCACCCCACTCCTTAGAAAACCATGAGCAGATACACGTGGGAATATAAACCCAAAGAGGATCCCTACAGCGAGGTAAGACGTCTCAAACTGACCGCCTCCCAGTATGCTTTGATACCCTGCTGATTCAAATAAAACGCTTTAATCCTGTAGCTTCGTTATTACTCACAGCTATCACCACTATCATAGTTGAAATCCATCTTAAGCCTTTACTTCCTAAGAAATGACATAGACAAGCAATACTAGATTTAGCGGTTTAAAATAGACGCTTCCTCACCATAGTTGTGAGAACTTGATTCCTGCAACTTAACATCTTGCTAGACAACGTAATGTCACTGTCAGCTGTTAAACTCCTCACAGCGACCTTGTAGAAAATTGTGTTGCCTGCTGGGTAACATACTCTATTCTATTCATAATTCTAGATATGCATGAAATATCAGTACTATATAATTTATAGGTGGTATTATTATTGAATAATATATATATATATACAAAGTGTTGTGAAAAAGTGTTGGCCCCCTTCCTGATTTCTTATTTTTTTGCATGTTTGTCACACTTTAATGTTTCAGATCATCAAACAAATTTAAATATTACACAAAGATAATGCAAGTAAATACAAAATGCAGTTTTTAAATGATGATTTCACTTAAGGGAAAAAAGCTGTCCAAACCTACGTGGCCCTACGTGAAAAATTAATTGCCCCCTCCTGTTAAATCATGAAAGAACTGCAATTAACCACATTATTTTAGAAAGC